AAAAAAAAAAAAAAGGATCCTTTTTTTTTTTCGCAGGTATCCTAAAAAAACTAAGGTAAGTGTGTTACTGAGAGAACTTGCTTACAGCCATTCTCTGATAACAAAGAAATATTTAAACACAGTTTGTTTGGAATAAACCCGTGTATGTGTGAACTTGAGCCCTGGTAATAGCAATACGTTTGGCTTACCTTAGTATGTTTGGGATAACATGCTGGTAAGGTAGACAAGATCCAGAGCACAGATGGCCTTGTCTGCCATGCCAAGGAGCTTGAACTTTTCACCACGTCCTGGCAAGTCATTGAAGGATTTTAAATGGTAGTTCAGAGTGGCAATTTAGATGGCTGTCTCTTCCAGCAGTTGCTTGAAGGCCAGGAGACCCTGAGAAGACTGTTACAGTGGTCCAGGGAGAGATGATGTGTTCCGGTGAATATATGCAGTAATGAAGAGAGCCGCAAGACAAGCATCGTGAATGGTCATGAGCACTTGTTCTAAGAAATCTCCAAATAGTTGTGTGCCATCATAGGTGGTGGAGACAGGAGAACTGGACCTAGGGGGCCGGATCAGGGAAAATGGCGTGGTAGACACAGCACCATCTCCCACACTTGTTTCATACTGTTTCCCTTTCCTGTCATTTCCCCATGCCCTTTTCATGGTTTGTCTGGCTAGCCTATCATTTAAGGTGGTTTGTGATGACTGGTCCTCCTTCTTACTCACATTTCTCATAGAATTAACACTTCATCCTATAAACAAAAGCTGTCTTCTTTATGTGCTATGTATGTGAGGTTTGTTCAGTCTTATGTTGGGCTAGAGCAGAAGTGGGTGGGAGGCTAAGTGGTGATAAATGAACTTGGGGCTGATATGAATGTGGGGACAGGAACAGGAAGCAGGACAAGTAAAGGCTGAGAGCTTGAAAATGGAAGGTGAGAACTTGGAACCAGATGAGTGATTGAGCAATAGAAGATAAATTGGGACAGTAGCTGGTAGCTAGATGTGATGCTTAGGAAATAGTTGAATTGACAAGTTTTGAGGCAGGGAACTTTTCTGGGGGAAGCTGAGAGAGTGACTCTGTGGATTTCCCCATAAAACCCAGCCCCAAAGACCTCACTTTCATAAGAATTCAAGGATTGCAAGAGTCCACCAGACCTGAGGATGAGGCAAGTTTTAGCCTGGGCTTTGAAACCAGTCAGTGTAAATGTAATGTTCTGCCCTGTTAAGTTTGTGTTTTGAAATGTCTTGTAAGCTGTTTGAAGGCACAAGTATGAGACTCTTAGGATGGCTCCTTGTGTGACATTGGGAGTCAAGGGGTAGGGTTAGAGAAGGGATGAGTAGGGAAGTCTAGAGAAGGGAAGCCCCTGCCCCCCAGACCTGAGGTCGAAAGTGCATTGAAAGAGGAAGTAAGGGACCTGGATTTCTTCTCAATTTCTGTAAAATGGGGATTAATCACACAGCCCTGCCACCTGTCTCACAGGTGATTGTTATTGCTAAGTGCTTTTGAGTCAGGTCTGGCTCATAGCAACCCTGTATAAGATTTCTAGGGTGTGGCTGGTGAGTTTGAACCACTGGTTCAAATGGACCTTGTGGTCCAATACATCATCCCATAGTGCCACACCAAGACTCCTCATAGGAGATAGGAAGGTTGAAGTACTCTGTAGGATTTCTCTATAGGCTCTCTGCCTTTTCTCTTGTCTTCAGATGCTGACCTAGGCAGAATTCAGCATAAATACCAAGTGCCAAGTTGGTGCTTGGATATGCTCAGATGCATTCTCATCTTATTACAGCCCTTGTTTGCATTTCTAAGTATCCTCTCTTCCCACTCTATTTGGATCTGATGGGATAGTTTAACTTTCTGTCTGCTAGTCTAAAACACATGCTACCAAAATTTGGAGGCGGTTGGAAGCCAACCAAAGAGGAAAACAGAAATACTCAGGCCAAAGCTGGGGGCCTTTGTAACTCATTGATCCTTGGGCCTCTGAATTAAAATGTGTGGTTGATGGTGCTTGCTCATGGATGTGACTCAAGTGTGACACAGCAGAGAGGTCCGGTATCATAAATCTTTGAAGTTGCTGAGGGAGGCCATGCGTTTGCTGGAAATAGGATACGGTGAGTTTTGGGGTGCCCTTTCAAATCTGCTGGTTTGACATGTCTGCAAATATCTGATTTAATGATTGCTTGACAAAGATACCCTCTATCCTGATGATGGAAATTAACAGGAAAGATGAAAAATATCAAAGTGTTGGTTGAAATGACTTGGTTACCTGAACATAGATTCCTGAACTTAAGGCTTAAGGCTTTTGTGGATCAGAAACAGCCAAATGGAGAGCAGTTATAGGGAAATCTGCCCCCACGAATTTTCTCATCCTCTCTTGACTTTCAAGAGTTAACTGTGGGATCTAGTATGTTGGAAATATCCTGGGTATCCCAGAAGCTAATGACTCTTTTGTGATTTCCTAGAGAGGTATGAGGGACCTTTCTGAGGTGTTTAGGGGGCACTGTCTATTCTGTGTATCCTGTAAGTACTGAGTGTAGCCTTTGATGGGAGTGATGACTGGGTAACTAAGCCTCCACCTTGGTTCCCTATCTAAGGTGAGTAACTTTGCTGTCAGATCAGTGGTGAAAAGTACCAGCATTGTTATTTCTTACTTGGATTGTTCCTAAGGGGTGGGGTGGGGAGTGGGGATATGTTCATGTTTAGATGATTGAAATTCCAAGTCTACAGTCCTTATTCTAAATTGTCAGGACCAACTGTATTTCAGAAATGAATATTTTTGGATTATAGAAACATAATAATGTACATATAGTATACTTTACATTTACTCCCAGTGGGGTCTGGGGCAGCATCCCACAAGCAAAAACGTTATTATTTCTGTGGAAAATGTATTCTTTGTAAGTGGAACAAAGAAGGTCTGTTAATAATCTCATATCATCATATCAGCTCAAGTCAGTTTTTTTTTTTACATAGCAAATTGGCTTTGGGGGAAAAAAATCAATTTGTAGAGCTTTTTGGAATTGGGGTTTCAGATTGTGCAGTTGCCACTGGTCTTGTACTTTTAATCAAATTGAGCCACAGGAGAAATGGCACGATCTCAATGAATGTTTCCTGGGAGCGTTCTTTGATGAGGTATGGTACAGATGATGAACTCCTGGCTATATTCTTTTAAAGCCTTCCCCTTGCTTCCTCTTGACAGGGATTCAAGCAGGTGTCTTTCCTGATAGATATTTTTCTATCAAGATGTAGACTCAGAGAACATATACATGGCAAAGCCAATAATCCATATTACAGATAATTTATATTAATAAAATTATGAAACACATCCACACTTTCTAAATGGCACCATTAAATCACTAGTCAGTGGTGGTGGTTGGTGGTTATGTGCCGTGGAGTTGGTTCCGACTCACAGCGACCCTGTACAGGGTTTCTGAGGCTGCAGATCTTTTACAGGAGCAGAAAGCCTCATCTTTCTCCCACGGAACAGCTGATAGTTTCGAACTGCTGACCTTAAGGTTTGCAGCCCGATTTGTAACCACAACGCTCCCTTACTGTAGTCAGTAGGACACTACAAATGTGAGTTTCATTCTTTTGTGATGGACTATTAACCAAAAGGTTGGTGATTTGAACCAATCCAAGGTACCTTGGAAGACAGGCCTGTCACTCTGCTTCCCAAAGGTAACAGCCATGAAAACCCTGTACCCAAGCCAAGCTCATTGCCATCTAGTCAATCCCAAGTCAGTGACCCTGTAGAGGGTTTCCAAGATGACAGATCTTTATGGGAGCAGAAAGCCTCATTTTCCTCCCTGGGAATGGCTGGCGAAATCAAACTGCTGACCCTGCGATTAACAGCCCAACACATAACCCACGATGCCACCAGGGCTTCCTTGACCCCTACTTTGTTGTTGTCATTTAGCATTGTTGAGTCAGTTCTGACTCATAGTGACCCTGTAGAGGGTTTCTGAGGAGCAGCTGGTGGGTTTGAACTGCTTACCTTGTGGTTTGCAGTCCAATGCTGATCCCACAGTGCCACACTAGAAGTCGGGTGAGTTAATGAAATGTTTAACCAGATATAGCAGGTTGATTTTGAAGTTGATAATTTCGTATGGCTTGCGAATGATGTTATAAATATCCAAATGCCCCTTGGCAGAAAAAAGTTTCTCCACTCTTGTTCTAAAGGTTAAGTGGAAGTGCTCTAGAGGCTGAAAGGGCCAATATTAGTTATCTAGTGCTGTTGTAACGGAAGTACCGGAAGCGGAAGTCCGAATTCAGGGACTTAACTCTTCTCTGCTCTGGAGGAAGGTCCTTGTAATGTGACATGGCACCTCTCTGCTCTGCTCACTTGTTTAATCTTTCTATTTTAGAAAAGATTGGGCCAAGATGCACCCTACACTGGTTCTGCCTCATTAACATAACAAAGCAATCTAGTTCCAGACAGGATTATAACTACAGACAGAGAGGTTTGGATTAACAACACATGTTTTGAGTAAACATAGTTCAATGCTCAACAGGGTTTATGACAAATGTTTGAAATTTGGCTTAAGAAAAGCTCTCCCCATATCCTACCCCCAAAATGTATTCAGTCTCTCTGTATGTATGTATATGTTTACACACACACACACACACACACACACACACACGAGAGAATTTAAAATGTTCTTCGAAAAATTCCATTACCTTTCAATTCCATTTTTCCATGAACTTTTCAAAGTTCCCTTGTGTGTGTATATATGTACACACACACACACACACACACACACACGGCGCTTCTAAGATTTCATGGAAATATAAATACAAACATACTTTGGAAAATCACCTGCTTACCTTTACAGTTGTTTATATTACCCTTTTTTGTGTTAGAGTTGTTGGTATTTAAAAAATGGTTTTTTCTTGAATATTAAAATAGCATGGACTTATTGTAGTTAGCATTTCTCTTGATAACCATACTTCTTTTTCAATTGCAGATCTTTCTCCTGGCCTGCCCTCCATGCCGAGGAGCTATCGTTGTCTTCAAGTAAGGGAAAATTGTTTTTTGCTCTGTTGTCGTTGCTGTTCAGACTGTTAACAAAGGATGATGAATACATGTAACACCTTGGGCTTGAACTGCCTTTTCAATGGGCTTCCCCAAGGGACAAATGTCAATGGGAGCTCAGGGAAAGTGAGAGATGTTGTCTGTGGTGATGTGGTTTTTGTCAAGCCCTTCAAATACCTTACAAGCCAATTCCTGGAAGGCTGCTGTCCTCAAGTTTTGCTTGAGAACACGCTGGGAGCCAGACAGCTTAGCTTCCCTCCTCTCAAGACTCTTTGCCTTGTGATCCTACTGTTCCACTGAGGATTTATTTGGTTCTTCATTTTTAAGGGCAGGAGTTTTTTGTTTTTTTAATTTAGTGCAAATTAAAGTGGGGAAAGCAAAATAGCACCTTATTCCAAGTTTTGACTTTTAAAAAAAATGTTATTAGATGCTGTTGAGTTAATTCAGACTCATGACACCCCCGGGGGTTACAGAATAGAACGACCCTATAGAGTTTTCAAGGTGGAAGGAGCTCTGGTAGCGTAGTGGTTACGAATCGGGCTGCTAACCTCATGGTCAGCAGTTCGAAACTACCAGCTGCTCCGCGGGAGAAATATGACGCTTTCTGCTCCCGTAAAGATTTACAGCCTCGGAAACCCTATTCATGGTCTCTATGGGTTGGAATCGACTCGACAGCAATTAACAACAATCTTCATGGAAGCAGATCACCAGGTCTTTCTCATGTGTGGAGCTGCTGGTTTGAACCCCCTACCTTTTGGTTAGCAACTAAGTACTGAACTGTTAGTGCTACCAGAACTCTTCTTAAAAATTGTTGTTACATGTCACTGAGTTCGTTCTGACTCACAGTGATCCTACATAGGGTTTCTGAGGAGCAGCTGGTGGTTCCAAACTGCCAACCAGTTCAAGCCAACATTGTAGTCCAGTGCTTATCCTACAGCACCACACCAGGACTTCCCTCTTGAAAATGTTGTTGTTTTTTAGTGCCATTGAGTCGGTTCTGACTCACAGCTACCCTGTATAGGGTTTCCAAGGAGATCCTGGTGAGTTTGAATCACTGAACTTATGTTGATCTGAAGGCAACTTTGCTTAAATGAAAATTTCAAAAGTCCTGGAACCCTCATTGTAACAGTGAGTTGTGACCATATCGCTTATCAAACCTTATTAGAGCTGTTAATGAGAATCTAAATCAGCTGAATTCATTTCAGCTCCTTTCCTTTTTCTGGCCCCCAGTACTAGAGCTGTTCATAAGCAGTGAAATGGCCGCTAGCCAGAGGGAGAGAGCAGGAAGTAAAGAGCCCAGCAGATCCTTGGATAATTGAGAGTAGTGCAAATGGCCTTCTGATTTACTTAAGTCATTAGAATGTTAGGTTGGGGGGAAAAAATACTCCATTTGCTTTCTTCAAATAGCCACTTAGTCTCTTGCCTTAGGTGAGAAGCTTTTTGTTGGGAGATGGATAATGGATCCTGATTTCATATATATCTTCCTTGAACAGCTCCTAAGGGGGAAGGGGTGTTTAACCTTGTTTCCCTCCCTTGATTTTCCAAAATGAGCGCAATGACTCAATGTGATGTTTTTAAAGTAACATTTATTGGTTTTATTTCATGATTATGAAAGTAACAATCCTCATTTTAGGAAGTACAGAGACACATAAAGAAGATAAGAATCATTGCCTATAATCCAACTCTAAGAGATCATTTTGAATTTTCTTTTCTCAAAAGGCTAAAATCATATTGGATATT